TTCATACATACACATTGCATCCGATTTAAGGTGCTTTTTAAATGCCATCATTGTACTTGATTCTTTTATATCTTTGTCAAGACTGTTCCATAAATTAACTCTTTTCACCGTAATGCTTCGCTCCATAACTCTGATTATGAATCTGGGTTTTTTAAACATGTAGGTTCCTTTTAAATTGTAGTGGCATGTTCTCATCATCCAATGAATAAACTAAACAACTAAAGGCCTACTGCCCTACTATTAGGGCTGTCAAAAGTATTGAAATCAGATACTAAAACTAGCATGGAAAATAAATACTTATTTGAGCAAGTACTGATACAAAAAAAAAAAATCACTGATTTATCAGAACCAAGACTACATGATTTGACCATCTACTACCTAAAAATATGAGCATGAAAATCACTATTCATCATCACTATATCTAATGCAGTTACTGTGTGCCATGTGTAAATTCTTCTATTTATTAACTGTATTTATTAATTCAAGAAAAGGGGGAACAGTGCATATTCATGGTGGGTGATGTGGGTACCTCGCCTAAGGACACAACAACAGGTTTTGCCACTGTCACCTCACAGTGGAACCTGGAATCCCCAGCAGGCTCCCATCCAAGGCCTGGACTAACCAGGCCTGGACCTGCTTAACTTCTGAGATCTGACAGGATCAGGCTTTTGACAAGGAGGTTTAGCCACAATGACAACAAACTTCACATGAGTCTGCCAGTTTCAATGCTCGAATCCAGTTGCAGCACAGATTTAGTTGTGACTGTTATTTACCTCAGGTAAAAGAAGTTATATTTTTAGTTTTTAATGTTACAAGAATTTGACAGGATCTCTTCCGCATTTCAGAGACATGGGCTGTGGTTGGATCATCTCAAGTTTGGACCATAGACTGCATAGCAGGTGTGACGTCACCTATAGCGCTCGTCTCCAGTCAAAGGAACCTCACGATATTAGTGGTTACAAGAGTGAATTTCCCATTTGGAACACGCTGGCTAGCTATATCCATGTAGCTAGTGTATGTCTGATTCCAGACCCTTCTGGTTAGACCAGAATGTAGAAGTGACTGGCTGGTCAGGGAAATAAGTCCTACAAATGTATATTACGTTATAGTAAAGTTCACAAATGAACTTTTCAGGTTTGTAAAAGGTTTCCTTTGTGAATCAAGGGAAAGTCTGTCTAAGTCTAAGCTCATGTCAGTTTTTTTTTTTTTTTTTGTCAAAGTAGACAGAGGAATCACAAAGTTACAAGTTACTGAAGTCTCTACACCAAAACTACAACTTGCATGACCAGGGGCAGGGGGTGCTTAAATTGTTTTTAAACTAAAACATTATTAAGACAAACAAAAAGGCAAGTCTTTGTGATTGTCATGAATAGGCCAAAGACTCGATGCTAGCATACGACAAGCTCTGTCACTGGGTTAATTTTTTTATTTTTATGTTCTAATACCTTAGATAAAATGCCAGAATTACTTGTACTTTCACAAGTACACACAATTGCACATAGCTAGTAACTCATATAATTTATTAGATCATATAGTTCAGCTGTAGCCTAGTTGTAGCTGTAGGTTAACTTAATTAAACTGGTATAGTTGTCAACCAAACTAATGTTCTTCGTTAGCTTTAAAAAGGTTGGTGATCCCTGGGATTCATTTTAAATTGATTTAAATTGATTAAAACTGATATGTAGGCAAACCCTCCAATATCATAGATATCGATACTGGAACCAATTCCCATCCCCAACTCATTCAGTCCTCCCGATTCAAGCTTAAATATACTATGTATATAAGTATGTGCTCAGCATTATTTTTACCCTCTAACAGCCACATACCTTTATACTTTCAGAAAACATATTTTCTACATGGCATGCTTTGACACAGCTCTGTACAGTACTGTCAATTACTCTGTGTGCATGAACTTAATGTACTTAGTATTGAAATGTGTTATTTTACATTTTGTTCATTATACACTGTAACACTGATCTAAAACTGTTTTAATTAAGAACACTGTAGCAAACAAGGGATCGTCATTGTGTGTAAGTACAGGGGTGTGGGCGGGGATAAGGGATACGTGAAAACATGACTCATGCCTCAAACGGAGCATTGTAAGATTACTCACATGCATGACTCAATCAAAATACAACTTTAAATAAACTAATGATAAGCGGGATTTGGCTGCAGGCCTCTACCCAGAGGTCCCTACACCCTGCAAGCTCAACCAGCGCCTCACGTGCCAAACCTCTAGCCATTGGTTCTTAATAGTAAGGAAACTGAGACCATACCAAAAAAGCAGGCCCGAAAGTTTGTGATGCCCTGAATGTTTTTTTTTTTTTGTATGCTAACGGTACAAAATTGAACATGATTTACATTAAACACAGTCGAATCCCAAACCCTAACTTTACCCATTACAGATTCATTATGGGGTCTAGACTTTGTACAAGTTGACAGTTAATATCTATTTAATGTTTGCATTTAATATCTTGAAAGGGACCATATATAAAATTGTGATTTAAAAATGTATAAACAAGACCACATATTCTGTGTCCCCTGATACTATATACCTTGTATAGCTCCTAGCTAGTAACAGGTACAAAGCTGATGTATTCATATTCACAAAAAAAGAGACGATCCAACCATAGCTGCTAATTTGTTGCCCGTGTCTCTCAAATAACATCTCCTTTCCAAAAATCTCATAACATTCAGAACAAAATGTATAACTACACCTGAGATGAATAAATAGTGTGGGGCTTTAATTGTTGATTCTGTAAAAACCTGCACTGTTTCTTAGTCATATGTTGTTGTTTTTATTTCCTCTTTTATGTATAACATGCATCTCTCTGATTGGTTAATCTGCCTGTCAATCACGCCCTGTGTAATCGGAAAGACAGGACATGGCTCTAAATCCACTTTCCTTAGTAAAGTTTTGTCAAAGTGGGTGGTTCTGGCTGGTCAGGTATGATCGGAGCAGGGACGAGCAGATAACCAGAAGCTAATTAATTCCATATTTTTAATAACCTAATTTTAAATAGCCTAATTATTAATAGACAGTGGACAAAGGCAAAAACTGTTTTATAAAAGTGTAATTAAGTTGTTTTTACAGAGTAAACACAGTGAAAAATAGTGAAGGACATGGTTAGCAGAGGTACAGTATGTTTCGATGCAGGGTCCTGTGGATATGTCTGCAGCCAGATGCTCTTGTATGATGAGGGAATTTAGGACATGGTTAAAAGCTCATTAAAGTAGATTTTGCATAATATGTCCCCATGAATGAAAACTGAAATGGACAATGGTTGTCAGTGTCATGGGGCAATAACAAAATGCTATCTTTGAATTTCAAAGCCACATGCAGCATCTTAAAAGTGGCCAGTAAATGGCCCTTACAGAATAGTGAACGTTTATGCAACCACTCCAGATTCATAAACACAATAGAAGAAGATTTGTAGAGGGAAATTACAATATAAACTCTGTATGCATCACATCAGCTGCAAGCTCTGTTGTATAAACATGTTTAACAGCATCGCTCTTGCTAATATAAATACATAAAACATATTTCAGAACATGTCAACAGCGCAGCCATATTATTAGCACTACTAACAAACTATAAAACTGCTATGTGTAGCCTATAACCAGGGCCTAATAACATAGCCCATAGGCTATAGGCCTATATTTTAAAACTGTAAAACAGAATTGTAGGTCAACTAGATCTGTTTTTGTTTTCATTTATCAGTTAAAAGCAACCATAAACACATCTGGCACCATTTCATTTTAAGGCCTCTAAAAAGGCCTCTTTTCAAGTATATTATTGAGATATTGTGAGCATGTTTACGTTCTAGATTTCATATTCATTCAGTCATTATTTGTATGCAAAAATTATGCAAACTTGCGATTCGGCCCGGATAAAGCAGAAGAAAAAGGATGGATGATCCACACAAGTTGAACCTTATAATTTTTTTGTTTGGGATAACCAGAACAAATTTGCCAAATGAATCTTATGATTTAAAGTTCTTTCTTTCTTTTTACAATAATCACGTCGTTGTGACCACTTTCTGAAGCTTGAGACTTCAGTTTGATTCTGTTGGCAAAAAAGACGCTACATCTGCAATCTAACAGTAAAAAAAAAAATATCCACCAAAGAATTCTGACCTGTCCTCAGCTCAGCTTTACACTGTGGGCATTCAAGAATAATGTGGTCATGTCAAGTGAGCGCAACCTATGAAAAATCATTGTAACTTAATTCATTCAGGATATTATTTGTTTCAACCAGACTTGTAAAAGAGGAGCAGAGCGGATAGCGGCGCATGTCTCAGTGTGTATGTGGTGCCTGTCTGGGCCAGAGGAGTGTGCGCCGTGCGCGTCAGCGTGTTCAGCTTTAAGAGGAGGAAGACTACGGTTGTCACAGAGCGAAGTAGGAAGATTAGCTCCCAGATAGCACCAACACTGGTGCCACGGGGCTCGAGGCGGATAGCGGCGTCCACCATTACCAACACTACCCATTCAACATCCAAACTCCAGCCAGCCTTTAAACTGTGCCAGATAACACATGTGCTGCCAACCGGCTTTTTCATTATTGACCAAAACTCAAAAGAGCTCAGCATGTCATTAGTTAGCGAGCTAACATTAGCTTTATCGTAAAACAAAAATACCAATCTAGCTCGAGCGTGTCCTCGTTACGTCTCGCTAATAAATGCTTTATTAAGACTTAGAGTCTATGTCAAAAGTGACCCAAAACTGCTGTTAGAGGATGACCCACACGACTAGAACCGAGCCCGAATCTGTGACCTGGCTGCCCCGCGATGCGGGACGGTTTCCGTCTAGAAAAAGATAAGCTATCGACTACAAACTTTCACCACACATCCATAAAAGTGCCACAGAGAGACATCCACTTAACTGTTTACCTGCTTTTTCCCTCCAGAGTTAAAACCTTTGCTTCGGAACTCATTAATTTCGGGCCACGAACTGAGCTCGCCGCCGTCGAGCCGCTGGCTATGGCACGTCCTAATCCTTACCTTTTAACGACTGCTCCTCAGTATTCCAGACATCAAAGTAAGAAGGTGGCACTGGACGTACAAAAAACATAACATTTTGGTAGAACAAGCCCCCCTCCCCTTCCTAATGCTCAACCTTTGGCTCTGCAGAGTAGTGTTACTTTTCAACAGCCCATCAGCTTCTTTATCGTCACAGATAGGTGGAGGAAGACCTGGCTCCTCTCGACGCGTCCGAATAAAAGGCTACCCTCGATCCACTCACTAAAAACTTCAGGTTCCTTTCAGTCAACTTACTTGGTCGCTCTGTCACCCCTTCTTTACCGATGGTAGACCAAAGACTGTGTAATCTGCTGTTAACCTCGATAAATCGGTGTTTTTGAAATCCAGGGGATATCCTCTTTTTCGGCCCTCCCCGCTGCCGCGTCTGTTGCCAAATAATGCGCCTCAACACACATGGAGCCGCTGCGTCCTCTTAGTGGGCATGCGCACCTCGGCATACCAGGGCGACCGGATCACATTATGGAGCCCACTGACCACAAGGGCCAAGACTGGGGCACCACGCCAGGGGCCAGTAGGGACTCTTGTGGCTGTTTGCTCACTGCCCTTTCCTGGGGGCAGTGAGCATGACTCTGGTCATGAGGACCAAATACAGCATCACCAATTCAGTTGAGCATCACTTGTGCCAGGTTAGACACCTTAAATCACTGGTCTGCACGAGCTTAAGGTTTTTAGTCCAAAATAAACTATGATAGAAAAGATTGGTCAAGAGAAGAAAACCTGTCAAACTTTTGTCTTCATTATGGCACTTGTATGTATTCAACCAAAAACAGGTCTAGTATACTTTTCACTAGTAGGATTAATATGAGCAAAGTGTGAGACGCACAGTCACATAAGACCATATATAAGCTCTCTCTGCAGGTTGGGTTACTGTGTTAGAAGTTTCAGAATAGGCTCAACTACATCTCCAGCTGTCTCTTTAATGACAAGCATCACATCCCTTCAAATCACCACTGTGAACTGAACTAATCCTTTCTTATCCGCAAACAGAATAAAACACTTGGTCCACACACTACCACGCCACATGTTGGCTTGTCCCATTAAGAGTTCCAATTCTCTGACAGTTGTTGCTTAACGTCTGGGGGCAGAAGTGTAAATAGTTGACATGGCATCATTCTGTATTTTAAAGGTGCTTGTGTGCTTAACTGGGACTGAACAGAACCAAACCTTAACCAGAGGACAAAACCAAGTAACCACTAAACCAACAAATGAGTCATGAACACAGTGTAAACACATACATGGATTTAAAACTCTTTTACATAGCCTTACACCTTATTTGGCTAAGACTGAACCCCAGAGGATAAAGGACCACCCTAAGTTCAATAAACTTAATAAGTCAAAACTTATAACAAACAAATGTGCAATATGGTATTCCAAGCAAAATACATTAAAACACAAACACTCAGCTATGCTCTATCATCATTGTGCCATAAGTAATCATGCATCTGTAAATAGAGCCAGAACCAAAATGACACTCTCCATTTTCAAAAATGTTCTCAGTCAAAGAAGTATTGCAAAATAGTTACTTTCAGTCTGGTTATGTAATTCATAATATATTTCAGTTGAGGTCACTGAGTCTGAGGCATTATGAAGGGTTAAGAGCAGAGGAAAGCAGTATTATTCTGTAGCAGAAGAGATCAATTGACTTATGCTTTGTTTCATCAACAGTATACTTTCTGATGTTAAAAAAGAATTTCCTGTATAAGCTAGGTGCACTAGGCTGTAACTTTTCTTTTGGAGGGTCTGCCCATCTGCTTGTGGAAATGTTATGGCTTATATGTTCCATAGTAATACTAATATTAATGCATTAGATTTATATAGTGCCTTTCAAGTACCCAGAGTTTATATTTAATTTTTCATTCATTCCTCACTCTGTGGTAAGCTATTGCTATTGTAGCCCATGACTGATGGAAATGAGGCTGCCAGTCTGCACCATCCGTCCCTCTGACAGCACACATACCACTTTCATACTAGGCATAGGTGAAGAGCCATACTTAAAACAACAGTTTAGACACTGGCACCAAACTGTGACACCGGGTATTCCCTGCAGTCTCCCATCCAAGTACTTCTGAGATCTGACTAGGCTTTGATAAGGAGGTTTGGCCCATATGGCATTAGACTTATCTCTGTTAGGTTAAGTTAAAGCTTGTTGGAGAGGTGATCTCATTCACATAATGCACATTTTTCTGTGAATTTATACATTTATAATTTATTTATAAACAATAAAAATAACTAAATCAGGGGTCTCCAACCGTTTTCCTCCAGTGAGCTATTTTTACAAACCAAAAATGTCAAAGGGCTACTAATTTTAGCAGTCACAAAGAAACTGAGTATATGTAAGTGCCACGGCAAGCCTTAGATGGGGAACCGATATCTATAAAACAGAAATCATAATCTATTTATTAGTGCACAGTTAGGCATAAAAATTATACATTTACAGTGATATTTAATCAAAATGAACTTATTCAGCACAATTCAGAAATCCCTTCATGAGCTACTTTGAAGGAGGTGGAGAGCTACTGGTGGCTCCTGAGACCCTTAAAATAAATGAGTAATGTAAAGATGAATTAAAGCGCGGTTGGATAAAAAGTTGATGAATAACCAATAAGCAGGTTCAACATATGAATTTCTCATCAACATTATACAAGACCACTGCCTAATGAAACATTAATAAATGAAGAAGACCATTCAGAGATGGTCCATTTATCCAACACCACAAAATCAGAATATTAGCCTTATAAAAATGTCTTCCTGTCTCCATCTCATCAAAACTACTGGCCTGAAAGTGGTGTAGTGATGTCACCTCAACATGCAAGAAATTTGTTGCAGCATTTTTGAAAATGTCAGGAAAAAGTTGGTCATTGATCAAAAACCTTCTAATTTCTTATAAAATTTAAACAGGAACTTTAAACAAATTTTTGCCAAATTGTTAATGGACCCGTGGAACCATAGAAAAATATACATGTGCAATTACACTGATCAGTTTTTGTTCACGTGAATAAGACTGTCTGTTGTCCACCTTGACTAAATAGTATATGTAAGTTTACAATGAACATACATTCACCTGCAATATTGCCTCTGCACTCCCCTTGCAGTTTCCAGAGCTACAGTAGAAGGCCTGACAGACAGATTAAAAGCGACTGGGAATGGCTCATATCAGCAGTGACGGATGGGCCTGGACAGTGATAATGCATATCTTGCTTTTCAAAGTACCTCAACAGATATGCCAGACGTAACAAGTTTCTATTGTGACTTTTACATATACTGACTTTTTGCATTTCTTCTTCTTCTTCTTCTTCTTCTTCTTCTTCTTCTTCATTATTATTATTATTATTATTATTATTATTATTATTATTATTATTATTATTATTATTATTATTATTATTATTATTATTATTATTAGTAGTAGTAGTAGTAGTAGTAGTAGTAGTAGTAGTATTAGTAGTAGTAGTAGTAGTAGTATTAGTATTAGTATTAGTAGTAGTAGTAGTAGTAGTAGTAGTATTTAGTAGTAATAGTAACATTTTTATTTTAGAAAGAAGGGGGGAAATTAACGTTATAATTAAATGCCTTGTATCATCATAAACTCATAGTCATTCATTTTTTAAAAGCATTGCAGCTTCACTTTGGAACTTTGGTGTTTGTTTCTGGTCGGGCACTTTTTTATGTAGAACCAATATGTGCGGCCTGCTATTCACAATTGAATTGTGCGCTGGTTATTTTCTCGTAAATGCGTCGTTGATACTTGTGTTCCGAACTAGTAACGTAGATTGCGTAGAAAGGCGGCCAGTTCATTGCAATACAGAGAACCAAACACAGGGCGGTGGCTACAGTTAAGCATCTCTCCTTTGTGCTATTTTACTCTTAATTCAATCATTATTATAGGATAACCCAGTATAGCAAATATTACGAAAAGGTGACTGCTAAGTGTGTCGCTGGGTGTTATTGTAGGGTGTAAACATGTCGCGGAAAAGAATCACACAAGAAACCTTTGATGCTGCTGTGAAGGAAAATATGGAGGAGTTTGAGATGGGTCCTGCCGAGGCTCTCAGTGAAGCTGTGGAACAGTTTGAGTCTCAAGGTAATATTCAATCATACTTTATTTTATGCACATGGCGGACTCAAATCATAGTGTTTTAATACTGTGCCTTAGTATAACACCCACGTGTAAGATAAAGAAAATGCTACGTCATTACGTTTAGTTATTTACTTTTCTTATGGGTTATTGTTCATAAAGTCATACAAACGCTTTTGCAGGTGTGGATCTTAGCTGCATAGTTAAGGCTGTACCAGCAGGAGCATGTGGTGACCAACAAGAAAACCATCAAGTGTTACTGGTCAGTGATGTTTACACGTTTTGGATTTAGGATCATGAAGTGCACACTGAACCTCTGTACTTACTGTCTCTTATTTGCAGGCATTAGAGTCCATCCGTATTGGAAATGACTTGGAGACATTATCAGACATCAAGCAGTTCACTGAGCAGTGTTCATTTGGGTTTGCTCAGAGATATCTGGCTGCCCAAAAAGGAGCATATTCTGTAATCCTTTCATTTTGTAAAAATAGTTTAGAGGGACATGATGCAGCATTGGCTGGCCTGTTAGCACTCGCAGCTTTAAGTGATGGACAACCAGACTTATTAGATGCAGATGGACAGCAGTTTCTCTTGGACATCCTCAAGAAATACCAAGACAGTCCATCTGTCCTTTGTGCAGCTATTTGTGCAGTGCATCATTGCTGTTTGAAACATGAGCAGAACAGACAGGACCTGATCAAAGGGGGTGTTCTGGCTTTGATCATCAGAGCAATAACACAACACAGTGAATGTGCTGAACTGGTCAAAGAGGCATCTGCGGCCCTAAGGGTCATGACCTTTGATGATGACGTCAGAGTTACCTTTGGACATGCTCATGAACATGCCAAGATGATTGTCCTGGAGCATAATGGGCTCAAGGTGTTGATAGATGCTGCCAGAGGTAAAGCCCAACATCCTTAAAATGGAACAATTTTGTATGTTTTTCAGTATACAAGTGCATTAGTTTGTTTTTATTTTTTTCAGCACACCTTAGTAATACCTCTGTACTGAGTGAAATTTGTGCAACTTTGTCTCGTCTGGCTGTTAGAAATGAGTTTTGTCAAGATATTTGTGACCTGGGAGGGTTGAAACTCATCATGACATTGCTTGCAGACAATTATGAATCACAGGTATCTTCAAGAATCATCTTTCAATATTATAAGCATATACCCTAATATAGTTTTCTAACGTATCTTTTATGTTCATATCTTTTAACTCCACAATGTGTTAGGAATTGGTCCGACAGGTCTTAAGTGCCATACGTGCAATTGCAGGAAACGATGATGTGAAAGATGCAGTCGTTAATGCCGGTGGAGTGCAACTTATCGTCATTGCTATGAATAGACACATGGGCAGCGCTGCTGTGAGTAAAACTGCATCAGAATGGTTAATCAAATGTCTTTAACTTTACTTTTTGATTGCGTTTAAACTATTAATTTCAGGTATGTGACCAAGGGTGTGCATGTCTCTCTGTGCTTGCTCTGCGAAAACCTAACAACTGTAAAGTTATCATGGAAGATGGTGGGACTATGGCCGCTGTTCAAGCGATGAAGACACACCCTGATGCAGTCAATGTGCAGGTAATGTCTTTTAAAAAAACAAGACTCTGTTCACCGTATTCTGTCTATTTTTTTTTCTTCTATTTTGTATTATAGAAACAAGCATGCATGCTGCTGAGAAATTTAGTTTCACGGATGCGAAACTACAGTCAGCCAATCCTGGAGATGGGAGCTGAATCACTCATTGCTCAAGCCCTTCAGAAACACCAGGACTGTAATGATGTTGGTAAAGCAGCGCTCCGAGATTTGGGCTGCCAAGTGGAGCTACGAGAGCTGTGGACTGGCAAACATGGTGGCATTACTAACTGAGAATAAAATTTAAAAAAGCATGCTAATTTTTTTTCTTTTTGTACATCTCTGATTAAATAAGGTGCTTACTGTGAAAATTTGGGCTTGGTTTGTATGTTATTTTATTCTTGTTGTGGTTTGCAATAGGAAATCTCGTTGATTCTGTTAGACATTGTGGATGTAAATGAAGGAGAGAGAGAATGATTAGATTGATGAATAGTACAGGATTTACAAAATCAAAATACGTTAGGTGTTTTATGTAACAGCATAGATATAGCCCAAAGTCGCACCGCCGACTTTGTATTGTTTTTTCTGTAGTTTCTGTGTAGTTATACTGTTCGAACCTACCCTGTCAATGTCTACGCCTCCCATTGGACCTATCAAAGCGTCTAGATTACTATGCACTACATTACCCATGATTCCTTGCGCTCGTCCTTGCCAAACAAACCTGAGTGTACTGGGCACAGGCACAGTGCAGAGCTGACAGCAGGATACGACACAAACATGTTGCTTAAAACAAGTCGGCTCTCGTTAAAATGAAGAATAATTGGAAAACGGTGGTTTCAGGATGAGGTGTTTGTCGTATTACTAGTTTGAATAAGAGAAAAAATAAGAGTTTTGCTGCATGTTTGTAACCTAATAATGGTGGCTAGCTGTTAGCAAACGTTATCTTAACTTACCATCAGACAAATAAAACGTTTTTGTCACAAAATGTAAAGCAGATCACCAGAGAGATGGACACACATCCATAATCTCGATGTTTACGACGAAACTTGGAAGGTAAGAAACCCAAATATTGAAACGAAATTACACTCGACATTAGTTGCAAAAGGTGGTCGTGTTATTACACCAAGGTTCACCCAGTTCACGTAGTCTCAAAAACCTGCTGAATTACTTAGTAGAAGTATTTATTTACCTCACACTTAGTTTATTTTTGTCACGTTTGGTAAGGTGGCCATTATTAGGCCCGTTTTTTTAGTGTTGCAGTCTAATTTATTTGTATTCTGTTTCAGTTCATTTTGTTTTTATATGTTGTTTTTCGCAGGGCGTGAATAAAAGGTTGGTAATTCATTGATTGTCCTTGGTGCAATCCATAACGCACAGAAAGAAGTAAATATCAATACACGAACGAGATGCTTAGTGTGGGGACTGCTGCATGTATCTGTATTTTAAACTTTGCTGAGGCAAAGACCTTTCACCTGCAAGTCTTCAACTTAGCCCCAGTCTGCCTTGTGTTTTTTCTGCTTAACTGAGTAACCCTAGAAAAGCTATTTTGTTCAGTAAGTGACTATGGCTATGCAGTATGTGGATAACAATGAATAACCTAAAATGTCTACCATGTATTTGCCATGTAATATAACACAATATTATTGTTCAAATGCATGACAGACATAGCTAGAAGTGTTCTTTGTACATCCTGATTGCCCTCCAACAATCTCTACCTCAGCTAATATTCTTAAATTAAGCAAAATTGTAAAAGTTATAATTAAATGTAATTGTTGATCACGTTTGCTTTGTACAGATCTAGCTCCTACATGTGGGGGTCTACTGGTGAATTGATGCAGTGTCCTCTGTGAATAGTCTCTAATGATGGGGAGTGGAGTTCAGGAACAGCGAGCATCCCTTACTCAAGGAGAAGTGCTGCCATGCGCATCCTCCTCCACCTCTGAGGCAGGTTTTCCTTAGTTTAAATAATTAACATCAATGTCCATGTAGAGTTTAGGATTTTCCATTATAACCTTTGACCTAATAAAGTGCTGCCACTTGTTAGTGATATACAACTATCCAAACACAAGTACTTTAGTACTGTAGTTACACATTAGCTGTTTCTAACTGTATTATGCCCTTTTAGAGCTTGAAGCAGACCCGCTCTGTGCTCAATTCTCTCTTTTCTGGGGCCTTGGCTGGGGCAGTAGCCAAAACTGCAGTGGCCCCCTTGGATAGAACAAAAATCATCTTTCAAGGCAAGTAGTGTTCACATCTGACCTAAATCTGGGATGCTCTAGGATGATTAAGGATTAGAGATATAACAAAAAGGTTTTAAGATTAAAATGCTCTCACCAACTCTGATGACTCTGATAGTTTATTTATAATGCACATGGTTTGTTTTTCAGTGTCTTCAGCAAGATTTTCAGCCAAGGTAATGCTCTTGTTAAGATATGTTTTGTTTGTCTATCCATTTTCTTCCGCTTATCCGGGGCCGGGTTGCGGGGGCAGCAGTCTAAGCAGGGACTCCCAAACTTCCTTCACCTTCTCCTCCGGAGCTGGAGGAGGAATGTTTTGTTCGTGATTTGTGGAAATGCGTCATTATACCATTATACTTTGCTAGTAGATGTGAATGGACAGATGTGCTTATCACATTTATTTTTATACAATCTGGTTTGGGTTATACAAATACCTATTGTTGTTTTTAAATTCACCTTTTAATTGTGTTGCCAACTTGTCAGGAGGCCTATAGGTTGATTTACCGCACTTACCGGAAGGATGGCTTCTTCAGTTTGTGGAGGGGAAATTCGGCCACTATGGTACGAGTCATCCCATATGCTGCCATTCAGTTCTGTGCACATGAGCAGTACAAGAGACTGCTCGGAGGATATTATGGTTTTCAGGGGAAGTAAGTACTTAAAATGTTCAATGATTAAAGATTTTTAACATGATTTGCATAACATTAATATATAAATAACTTTTTTTTTTCAGAGCTCTACCTCCGATTCAAAGGTTCTTGGCTGGATCACTGGCTGGGACGACTGCTGCTATGCTAACATATCCCCTAGACATGGTGCGTGCCAGAATGGCAGTAACACCAAAAGAGATGTAAGAGCCTTTGAACTTATTCACGTTTATTGATCACATCAGTGTAGTTATCTAGTACCAAATAATCTATGTACATTTTATCTCCAGGTACAGTAACATCTTACATGTATTTGTACGTATATCCCGAGAAGAGGGCTTGAAAACATTGTATCGAGGCTTCACCCCCACGTTGCTGGGAGTTGTGCCATATGCTGGCCTGAGTTTCTTCACCTATGAAACACTAAAAAAGTTACATGCAGGTACTGCTCTGATTCTGCCCTATGCAGCTATAATGCCCCGGTGTTTAAACTCTAAACAGACTATACCTTACAGAGCGCAGTGGGCGGGCTCAGCCCTACTCTTATGAGCGCCTGGCCTTTGGAGCATGTGCAGGGCTGATTGGACAGTCTGCCTCTTACCCTCTAGATGTGGTCCGAAGGCGCATGCAGACAGCAGGAGTCACTGGGCATACCTATGGCACCATCATAAGCACAATGAAGGAGATTGTATCTGAAGAGGGAGTCATCCGAGGACTTTACAAAGGTCTCAGTATGAACTGGGTCAAAGGGCCCATAGCCGTAGGGATAAGCTTTACTACTTTTGATTTAACTCAGATTCTTTTGAGGAAGCTCCATCAAATGGGTCACACAAGTCGATAATGATAAATAAAGGGAAACAAAATGTAGGTAGTCGATTCACAGTTCCTTTGAATTGGAGCGATGGACTGATACAAAGCACACAGTGGCTCAGGAGGAGTGGATACTTTTATTGTATTCTCTCACTTTCTCATTGAGTACAAAGGGATTGTTCCCTGTAAATGTGAGTCCTGGATGTGGTATGGAATATCTGTACACAAGTGCAATATGCCAAAGCAAAAATTACACATGACCTGGGAATCTATGGCACACCTGTGGTTATTGACATTTTAATGTCTGCCTCGCACAGAACAATACTACATGAGTATTAATGCTATTTATAATTGATTTAAAGCCTAACCATGCATAAAAGTAACAACATTGCTATTGTATTATTGCGATAATGTTACAGAATACAAGAATTGTGTTCTATTTTATGTGCCAACTTTAGCAGTGTCCAGTGTCCAGTTTTACCATAGAATAAGTATATTCACCAATAGCTTGGTTAACATACCAGGTGTTACAGTATAAATTCATGACTTTATCTGTGATATTTTGAAGCAGATACAGTTACACAAAAGTTCTTCCATTATCTGAGCTGCATCTTTCAACATGGTCAATATGAGACCCCTTGGTGTGGTTTTGAGAGTGGACTATTCTGACTGACAGTATGCACAGAGACAGTATGGAATCACTGTGTAACATTTTACCTCACTGTCTGTATCTGGACAGACATGTGTCTATTTCTCACAAGGAAATGCATTTTGTAAATCCAACTTTGTGTTGATGGACTTTGGAGCCAGTGAAGTGTCAATTGTCTCTATAATTAGACAGCACAGATTGTGGTCTGAGCTGAATGAGCAGCTGGGTGCGTAGTCAAGTGTAGCAGAAGCCATTGAAGAATGTGTCACAATAAAAGCACATCTCCAGCCCAGCAGCTGAAGAAAATCCAAGGGCATGTTGACATTTTTGTGCTGTCAACAAATACAGTTATTTTTAGTTTGCTTCATTTGTCTACACAATGTTTGTTTTCTGTTTTATTATTGTATGATTGGATTGATGTTATACACTGGCACAAACCCCCAGCACAGCATGTTATTGGTCAAATGTTGACACACAGGGCCATCCAGTACCTTCTTATTTGTCTGGGCTAACTGTCATTAGCCCTGTGTACCTGACAGCAGACAGATCAGCTTCTGTTGACTTTATAATGTTTAAAAGCCTCAGGTTAAACAAGAGGAAAGAAAGTAACAATCAACATTATTCCAATGGGAGTCCAGAGATGTGCTGCTGTGAAGATATGTGCTGAACTAACTTTTACGAAGTGCCTAATGAGGAAAAACTAAGATGTTTTACTGTGACTAAGCAACTCACAAAAGTGTTTCCTTTTTTACATTTAGGCTACATGTCAATGTAGTTTCAGTTTTTTATGTTAGATTACTGACTCAATATTTGAAATCAGGTGAATTTAAATGCACAACAACTGCCTTTCAATGTATTGCATTTAAAAGAATCTCAAGACTGGCTTCTAAGGCCTTAAGACACTATTGTTTTTGTTTCTTCTTCTAAAGTGTGAAAAACAATCATCCCAAAATAATGCCAAAACTTCTTTCAGAGCTAAACTAGCCCAAATGACTCTAAATCTTCATGAAATTATAATTTAATGAAATGGTTTGCACATGACAGTTGCAGGTGTTGGGGGCTGCCTGTCATCACCTTAAATCTGTTTGCATGTTTAGTGAAGTGAAATCTGTTTTGTTGCAGTGAAGCATTTGTGCCAACCGAATGTACTAAACCTCATCTATGAGCGATTTTCCTGAATAAATGTAGATTTTTTAACCCAAAGTTCTATATTATCAAGACTCTTTACTTTATACAACAACAACAGGAGGAGGATAAAAGTAACTATTAAAAACAGACCTAAATCTAGCTGTTACATTGGTATATTGCTAGAAGCGTGATGGTTTCGTCAATCCCCCTGAATGCTGCCACAGACACTTGAGCTGTGTCATTTAATTTTTCTGCTCAATTGAATCAACCACACGAGGGCGCCATGTTCAAATAAAAGCACTCAAATGGCCCTTTGGACAGTAGAGGGTACTATAGGATAGTGGTGAATACCGTGAGAGGGCCAGATGGGGCAAAGAGGGTCCACATGACCAAACCACAGCGCATTGAACTTGACCGTGACCAGTAAAGCATTCAGGAAGGAGTGAAAATAATAATGTTTCACTGAGTTATGATAGAAATAGTTATTAAGAGGAATAATATATAGTGGGCCCATATAGGCCTCCTGAGTAATATTATTAAAATTTGTTTTAAAATGATTAATTAAACTAGTCTTGTATGACTTGTGTAGCTGATTATGGTGTCTGACATTAAGGCTGTCGTTTCTGTTTTAAAATTACACCGACTACATGTGTTTAGTTTTACGATTACATTGAAAATAAAGCATGGACTAGCTTCTTTGTGTGATCAATTCTGAGAACGTGGCAAAAAGAAGAGAGAAAAGAGCAGGAAAGAAAGGAGCTATAGGGAAGATAGAGGTCTAATTAGAGTGTGAAGGAGGGAGGGAGGAGGCTGTTAGAAGATGTGGTTGCTATAGATACTTGGCACGATGCCAGGTGGAGGCACAGCCAATTTACATTTATTCAGATGGCGGCTCCACTCTCCCGCTCTTCTTCATTACAAAACAATAGGCCATATGACTGACATTTTAAATATACTTTTAAAGTTGATAAATGTATGTTATTAAATTTAAAGCCATGGGATTTCATAAGTTAAATAGAGTCCTATAGGTCCATTCCTGTAAAAAAAAAAAAAAAATGCATTTGACAATAATTAAAAGGCTCTCTTCTCGGTAGCGTTAATTGAATTTTTAAAAATGAGTTTTTAAGTATAATTTCTAATGTTTTTCTTGTAAATAAAATAAAATAAAATAAAATAGGCCCCATAATTGTGTATGGTACAAAGCTCTCTAATATTAATCTGTAATAGTCACAGGTGCTAATTCAATAAGTAATAATTCAGTAAGTAATAATTCAAATGTAAGTTGAAAATTGTGTTTTATTCTGTAAGTACTGCCACACATCAGTTAATGAATATTTTTTTAAATACAATTCTGTACTGCTGATGATTATTTTTAATTTTAAAAATTTTTAATTTGTTTATTTTCATAAATCACAAGTTTTGCCAAATTTTAGATATCACAACATACTATTGCCCAGTCATATTTATGGGGTCAGCAAAAATAAATGTTATTGATAGATTTTTGTGGTAATATAGTGATTTTTAGGGTCTGGAGACTACCTTTGTCTACCTTTGAAATATTTCTAATGAGAACCATGTAATCTGTTGAGTAAATTTTGTTTTTGCTCATTGGCATTGATCCAATAATAATAATAACAATAATAACAATAATAATAATAATAATAATAATAATAATAATAATAATAATAATAATAATAATAATAAACATCAACAATTACAGAAGAGAAAAAGCAAATCCATTTCTTTCTTTTCTTTTATTAACAATCACATACCAGATCCATCACTTTGATGACAAAAAATATTCACCTTTTTGTTGACAATATTTGTTATAGATAAATAGATGAAGGATAGATGAAGGAACAGTAATGTGCAAATAAAATCCACAGCCAACTTTGGACCAGTGCTCCACCTGTAAAAAGCGTAAACTCATGTTTAATTGTTTACCGTTATCTGACAGCAATTTAGCATTGAAACAATACCAGGATATAGGAGAGTGTCCCCAGCAATACAAATTTTTCCTCTGCATGTGCAAGCCCCACACAGTCCTAGAGGGCTACTACTTGTCAGAAATGCACAGATTTGAAGCATAGTGCCCCATCTTTAACCATTACAATGGAATAATGGCCTATTATCTGCAGGATGGGATGCAATCACACTTGTGCAATCACTACATCAAAATCTGAATTAGACCTAAAGCTAAACCTTTACAAGACCAGGATCAAAACCAAGTCTACATCAGCAATAATGGGCTCAAACCAGAACCAAACCAGGACAAGTGTTGGGGCGTGAGGGATGACAAGTGACTCAGGTGTGATAGAGGACTAGAGGGCCAGACTAGACTACAGTTTCAGAACAATTGTACTGTTTCAGACAGTGGGATAATATAAAGGCCCAAAAGGCCCCAGTGTTAGTCTCTTGGACTCTCCCTCTGCCCACACACTGCCCCACGTAATATGTATGAGACAGAGGAGTCCACATCAGAGTTGAATTTCTACATTTTTAGTCAAATCAAGCAAATTATTGTTTTTTGTTGTATTTAAAAAGACATTTGATTTTTAATACACAGATAATAATGTAAGCAAATATTAATGGATGTGGTTTATACATCTGTAACTTAATGACACTGAAAGATGAATTATTGTTTTAGTGACTAAAAAGTACTGTTACACTGACCCAAAAGAAAATTAAATATGGAAAAATATACATGTATTGTGAGTAATGTATAGTCCAATAGAGTCTAATCTTGGCAGATTTAATAATAAAATAACAAGTATCTTTAATTCTTACATAAAAATAGAATAGAATATGTCAGTGTTTATGTGTTTTATATGAGACATTATAATTAAGAAGTGTTCAAGTAAACATCCTCAACCTTAAGCTTCAACTCAAAACCAAAAAAATTGCTGTATAAATGTTTTTGGTTTTTTTTGTTTGTTTGTTTTTCTTTTCTTTCTTTTCTTCTATACACTATATGAATGCTCTCCTAAAGTCAGGCCTTAGACATTTTAATAGAAACTTGAAAAATCTGAAGTGTTGAGTGGTGTGAAGAAGGCTGCTTTTTCTGTCCCTCTCCCCCCTCTCTCGATTCTCACACTCTCGTACTCTGCCGACATTGTGTCCATCCAACAAAGACGTCCCCACAGCCCCCTCATTATAAATACATGTCATTGGATCACAGCTCCTCTGAATCCCTGAGTCTGCTGCGCTCTAAGTGGCCGTGACTGAGCCCTGAATGGGTGGCCGGGCGACAACTACACCAATAGACACCAAAGACCTGGGCTCCGAGCTTCTGGGAATGAAAACCTTGCAGTGGGATGGGGTCACAGGGCAGCAGCGCACAGTGTCTCTTACATGTGTATGCTGTTGCACAATGTGGATATGCTGTATGCTGTACTGTGGTGAACTAATGAAAGGGAGGATCTTTATTTTTATTTTATTTTAAAGCAATTCTGTTCAAGAGAGTTAACTGTTTGTGAACAAGTTTGAAACAACTCTGGGCCAATGCTTTTTCCTGCTGTCTCAACAACAAAATTATACATAAAATGTGTCAGGATGCTACAGGACAAAAAAAGTGTGTGTGTGTCTGTTTTGTTGACAAAATTGAAAAGTGTCTTTGTCCCTCTGGAACCACAAACCAGGGCACAGGATTGTACTTTCATCTCTTCTTTCTATTTCTGAGTCAAAGCTGGTGTTTCAACCTGCTACAGCAGAATTTTTCCCATTCACCTGTTATTCTGGCAGTAATATCTCTATACGACTACTGTGGTATCATCATACACTGCCTCAGTATTTCCATTTTGTAGTAGCCATGCCCCCTTATTGTGCTCATACTTGTTGAACTGAAACTACGTAAAAACATATAACTTAGGAAACTGTCCAGTGAACACATTATCTAAAAATATACAGTTAATACTCTTGCTTTTGCAATTTCACAACTGAAACAACATTTTATGCAAACACTCAATACCCCTCTTTTAGATAAAACATAGTTGTTTTAATGCCATGAAGCTTAACACATAAAGCATGCCTAAATTGTACTCTGGAGCGGTGAGACAAGTTTTGGAACACCCATTTGCAGAAGACTGTCATCCATTCACATACATCCTTCCTTGACTCATGATGAGGTAATGTTCTTACAGGAACATCAAAACTACCTCATACTTTTGGGCCTGACAATTTACAGGCAAAACAAACTACTACACTAGAAGATCTGTGTTTAATCATTTTCCATATTATTACTGTCCTTACTATTTGATTTGGCTCATGGCTATCTCCCCTTTAGTCAAACAATAATAATCTTGACTCCACAGGACAACTACATTTCAGATAGGAGTGCACACAAACTGCACTCAGTGACTTGAGACTTGACAGTGAAAGAGTCACGACCATACAACACTGTGGCACACTTATGTTTCCTCACAGATTAGGGCATGTAAAAAGTACAATTAACAAAAAACACAAGCAAGAATTACACAGTAATAGAATATAGGTACACCAGATTGTTCTCCAAAATAAGTCATGCTGTCATTGTCAGTAAAATGTGGTACATCAGTTTGAAGAGAAACAAAGACAGCAAGAGTCTGAGCCCAATGTGTCAGTCAGAGGAGAAATGTCACAGAAAGCAGAGATGAGGAGGAAAGGCTCCTGACAACACAATCACACTTTCAGCAGGGGGGTCTGACTTTAGGCTGCCTGTCTGTCTGCTACTGTGAGCCAACTGCACATGATGGAGGAGTCACCAGCCTACAGACTAGTCCCTTTTTGAGTATCCCAGACTGAGCCAACAAAAGGTAGCAGTGCTCCTCAAACAGCCTAAACTTCATTAGCATCCGACTAGTCCCAGACGACCAGACCAAGAGACTGCTCAGTCACCCACACACACACATGTGCCAGACAATCCCTCCAGTGGCCTTGACCCATGAACTCTAGGTTCCTCTTTCACCTGCTACAACTGCATTCATGCTAGCAGTGCCGTCTCCCCAGCAGCCGACTGTTCTACATATGTTCTCTACACATTCCCACGCTCCAGGCTCAGACCTCCAGACTGGGAAATGATGACTCTATAAACACGACAC